TTTAAATCTCTCTCTTTCTTAGACTTTTAGGGCTAAAAATAATCTGGGGTGAAATTTCTTCACAAACCCCTTCTATTTATAGACCTAATTCCCCCTCATAACTTCTAGGCACGACTAGAAACTGCCAAGATACATTTATTCCAACTAAATTGCAGTTACACCTTCTAGAAATCAAAATTTGCACATGTGATTAAACTACCACGCTTAAGCACCGGATCTAGCGCTTAAGCGCCAGTGCACATTTTTGCACCAGTCAACTTAACATCTAAATTCTCATTCTAACATGTCTATGTCACTAAATAAAGTCTAAAAATCATTACTAGCACATAATAAACTTAAAACTACTACCCTAAATTTCTTAAACAGACTCAAAACAACAATCAAAGCAAAAACACACTAATAACTATGTGTTGCCTCCCACAAAGCGTATGGTTTTACGTCGTCAGCCCGACGTAACAAGTGCTCATTTTGGTTGACCCTACATCATTCCATCATTAAATTTATGTTGATCTCCTATATAATAAGGTTTCAGTCTATGTCCATTCACTTTAAAATTTTTCTCAGAATTAGGATCTTTAATATCCACAGCTCCATAAGGATAAACTTTTATCACAACAAATGGGCCCATCCACCTGGACTTAATTTTGCGTGGAAATAATCTTAACCTTGCAGTATATAGCAAAACTTGTTGCCCTGGCTGAAAATTTTTAGTAAGAATTTTTCGATCATGCCACATTTTTATCTTTTCTTTATAAATCTTAGCACTCTCATAAGATTCATTCCTTATCTCTTCAAGCTCATTTAATTATAGCAATCTTTTCTCACCAGCATATTTTAAATTATAATTGAACTCTTTAATAACCCAATATGCTTTATATTCAAGTTCAACTGGTAAATGACAAGCTTTCCCAAGTATTAGCCTATATGGGGACATTCTTATAGGAGTTCTATATGCAGTCCTATAAGCCCACAAAGCATAGTCAAGTTAGACTGACCAATCCATTTTTGTTGGATTCACAGATTTTTTCATAATTCTTTTAATTTCTCGATTGGATAATTCTGCCAAACCACCTGTATGAGGATGATAAGCAGTAGCAATCTTATGATTTATAAGATATTTCTTTAATAACTTCTCCAGAATGACATTTCTGAAATGACTTCCCCTATCAATAATGATAACTCTCAGTATTTAATATCTACAAATATGTTCGTTTTCAAAAATTTTGCAACACTTTGAGCATCACATCGAGGTAAAGCAACAACTTCTATCCATTTGGATACATAGTCCACTACTAACAGAATATATAAATTTCTGAAAGATGGTATAAATGGTCCCATGAAATCTAATCCCCAAACATCAAATATTTCAACTTCTAGCATATAATTGAGGGGCATCTCATTTCTTCTAAAAATATTGCCTATTTTTTAACATCTATCACAAGTTTTGATATAAGCAT